CAAATCAAAGCCATCCCATCTGAGCAGCTGGTTGGCAAGTGAGTTGCAGGCTCAGCTGTCCCTCAGTACCCCTGTGAGTGGTGGGGTGAACTGGTGGTGGCCTGACAGAGCACAGGGCTGCTAAGCTGTCATTTCTGTTAGGATCTTGGGACCTGTTTTCAGTGACCACCTCAGGTGCCCTGAAGACTTGTGCAGAAGCAGAAAATGCTCATTTCCTCCTCCTGTCCTCCTCTATTTTTATTTTGTTATCCATTGCAGCTGCTTGAGATGATTTTGAAGAAGCAACACTGCAACTTCAAAGACATTCAGACTTCAAAGTCAGTGATTGACTCTGGCTGTCTTCTCATGTCACTGTATTTAGGAGTGACTCACGTGTGCTGGTCCCGAACTCTTGACTGTGTTGCTATGAATTTTAAGGTTGCAGAAGGTCTAATAAGATGATAAATATGAAAGGATCAGGCAATATGCTGAGGTCAGAATAGTGACTTCTGTTCCCCCCTGTAGATTAGCTTTAGGTAAGCATGCTTTCTCAGGGATTATTAGGTTGGCCTGAAGAAGGGTGACTGAGCTCCTGAAGGTGAAGCTTTTGGCCATGCAGCTGCAGATGGTACTTGTCTTACTGACTGGAGATGTTCCACACTTGTCTGCCTGTTGTCTGGGATGTACACCTGTAGCTGCTGTGTTTTGTGTGCATCAGAATATGAACTTCATCCACAGGATCCTCACTTCCCAGCTGGGGAGAAGCAGGGTGTGGTTGGGCTGTTATCAGGTGAGGCTCAATCTGCACTCCAGCTTTTTTTGCAGGGATATAGGAGGTTTGGGTGGAAAGAACTAGAAGGGAGAAGCCAGCAGCAGGCATGGGTCTCTGAATTCTCAGAGCCTGGGTGGGTGTGTGGGATGGATAGCTGGTGTACAGAGTGCTGTAAGATGAGAACAGTGACAAGTGCAAAGACACTTTCCTGTTAGGTATCTACCAAAAAATAATGGAATAGTTCAGGATGCACAGCTGTTCCATCTTCAGCAGCCTTTCTAGTAGTAATATGAAAACAGAAGCAACTTTGCTGGTAAGAGATTATTATTTCCTAATGCAAATAAGCTCATTGTGAAGTCAATATCTAACTGAAGAGTCATCTGGTTTTAAGAACTTAGCAGCCAAGTATGATGGCACAGCTCTTTTCTGAGAATTCTGTTAACTTATTCATGTAGCCATTGAGTAAGCAAGTAGCTGTCTTTTATCTCTGTGCCTCCTGATTTTGGTGTATCCATGTGCTTTTCACTTGAAATTCCAAGAGAAGGAACAAGCATGGTACCAGTTCTGTAGTAGTTTCTTCCTTCCATTTGCAGCCTTGTTGCTGTGCTGATTATGTACTTTCATTGTAGTGAACTGCACTTTTCTTTAACACTTTGGATTATAAGGCATTTTGATACTAATTCTGAAGTCATCACCATGAGGTGAGAGGCATATTTATAGCTTCAGCTCCTGAATTTAGCAGGGAGAAGGGCTGGTTTGCATGGCTGTGTTGAAATGGTGAGTGCTGCCTGTGTCCTGTTCCCATTTCTGTCCTCAGATCTTTAACTGTTGCTTTGAATTATTGGCAGCCTTGATCCTGGTACAGGGGGATGCCACTTCTGTCTCTTACATGAACACATCATTCCACTTGTTATATGAATTACTGGAAGTTTGCCTTGAGCTCTGTCTCCTGTCTGAGTGCCTAAATTTCATTATATAGAAAACTGGCTTTCCCTAGTATTTCAGCTCTGCTTGTCAGCCATCCTGGAGCCTGGGAATGCTCCTGAGTCAGCATTTAAATGTTCAGACTCCTAAACACACCAGTGTTCTTAAGCCTTATGTTTATTTTGTAATATGAAGTAGGGAATGGTATCTACTAGAGGACTTTTATGGACTTGCTGTCTAGATGTTGCCACAGCCCACCAGGGATTATTTTGAAACCAACTTGGCATTGACTGTAGAACGGGCCAGAACCACTTCACTGTTGGTGTGGAGAAAGCACTGGAGCAAGAAGTCAACGTGGTCTTTTAACTGCTTTTCTACTAACATAAGAAGGTTTTTAACTTTCAGCATGACAATTCTAATAGTTTGAAACCCAATACAAACCTGAGAGAATGAATTTTCTTTTTTATGAAGGTACAAACCCCAGTTATTTATATGCTATTAGTAGCAAATTTTCAGATTGCAATGTTTCTCATTAAAACTTCTGTAAGAGTTAATATAAATGTCATTACCCCTTTGACAGCTTTTCCATGAGTTGGGTTTTTTTTAGGGATTACCAAGTGCCCTTCCTTGCAGACATGACAGAAACACTGTTTTTCTTGACAGGGGAATGCTGTAGTTTTAGAAGAATAGGTTAAAACACTTTTGAGGCACCCTTCCTGTGCAGGACAATACCTGGGTGCCTTCACTTCCATATGATTCTTCTCTGCTACTGTTTGTGAACTCATGGAATGCTGCATGGACATGTTCTGCATTTTCTGTGGATGTGTGAGAGACTGGAGCTCTATTTCCTGACTGATTTTTTTTCACTACAGAGCAAAAGCTGCACAGCTTTAGTCTGAGCACAACCAGTAAGATGTTGTATCTGGTGAACAGCAGATGGTAGCAAGGCAGTGAAAAGTAAAGATAGGATGCTGCTCTCCTCATGTTGTAATGTGTTCTTCTCTAGACAGAAAAAAGGCCCATTTTTACCACATATACATAAAATCTGCTTATTCTTTTGGAGCTGCTGTAATGTCCCTAACAAGGGAAAGGAAAAGCAGGGCTGCAACTTTTTTCTTTCGGTCTCCAGGAAATAATTTCTAGGTGTCTTTCAGATGTGAAATTGCTTGTTATATGAAAAGGAAACCATAGGCTTGGTCATGTTGTGTTGAGGAACCAAAATTACAACCAAGGGCAAACATAAGCTGGAAATCTGAGCACACCAGCTGAATGAGACAGTTTACATGTCCTAAAAGCTTCCTTTCCTTGCTTTGGTACTAACAGTTTGGCAGAGGAGGAGATGATTTCCCTCCCTTTTTGTTTCCATTCCAGCACAGCTTAAAAGCAGCTGGTGTTAGCTGAGAGACACACTGAGGAATAATGCTTGTATTCTGGGAGGGTGTTGGCAGGGCCAGGATTTAGATCAAAACTCAGTGTGAAGGAACAAACTGACACCTGATTGTTCTGATTTTGGGTGAGAGTTGTAGAAAGGGAGGTGAGGTGTCACTGTGACAGCTTGCTCTAAAGTCCTTGGTGTAGGGATACAAGAAGTGTAGGTATTGACTGCTCTGATCTGTCTTTTCAAAGCTTGTGGATCACCTGGAGGCATCTTTTGGTTGCAACAACTGCTGTAGGTCTGGTGTATTTAATGAGGGGTCTGGCAGAGATAGCTGGCTTCAGTTAAGGCTTGGCCTTTTAAGATTGCTGGTTAGGTTGTTTCTTAGGCCTCTGCTCTGAACTGGCCCAGTAGCTGCTTCAAATGGAACTTTACCTTTGGTGTGGAGGCCTTACTTTGTATGCCTTGGAGGTGAGTGAAAGCAAGTGCTGCCAAGTTTGAATGAGAGGTCTTGTTCTGACAGTGTGCTCTTCTGATGCTTGGGGAGGACCTGAAAGAAACTGTGAGGTGTGTCCTGCACTCTGAGGTGCCTTCCTGGGTGATGTTTTCTTTTCCTTTGTTGTTTGACTGGCTGTGCTTTCGTACTTGTCCACTTTGAGAAAGAAAGGAGCAAAATTGGATATGTTCCCCCCCCAAAATTCCTGTCCTGGTCTTTGTTGTACCCTAGGGTTTATGGATTGTTGAGGCTTGGTAATGCAGAAGAAACAGGTCTCTCATAAAGCAAGGCTCTTCAGAGAAGAGTCCTGGTGTAAGCAGGTGAACTAATGCTTTGGGGTTAGATTGGCTGCCTGGCAGCTTCCCAGGGATGCCTGGAGTTCAGAAACCCCTAATACCTGGGTGTGGTCTGAGCTGATGACATGGAGTCTGGCCCATTTGGGAGAATCTGCAGCTGTTGCCATTCATGTGGAGTGCCAAGTTTTGGGCCCTAGTTCTCTCTGACAGGGTAGTGAGGAGGGTCTTTTCCTGGGATGGTGCCGAAGCTTGTCTGAAGCTTTTCTGTGAATCCCTTCCAGAGGTGTCTCCTGTTATACTTGAAGAGCAGGTTGGCAGGAGTGACTCAGGAAATAGAAGACATGCTCACAGGAAAGCTTTCTGTGGTCATGTTCTGCCACCAGACTTTCTGGATGTGGCCACCTGAGGGAGTGAAACTGGGAGAAGGAGTTTGATTCCATTCAGGGACCAGACAGCTCATGGGTCTGTGACATTACAAAATGTGTGTCAACATCAGTCCTTCTCGCTTGATCTAATGCTGCAAAGGGAACTGCCTGTGCAGAAAAACAATGTTGTAAGAGCAGTTGGAAATAAGTCATTAAAGAAAAGTGGTTCTTTCATTTGCAGTTCAGATTCTGAAATAATTGGCTATGCCTTGGACACTCTCTACAATGTAATATCGAATGACCTAGAAGAAGAGGAGCAAGGTAAGCACTTGGTAGTAATAGCTGTGTTAACTGTGGGGGTGCTTTCCTTTTTCCTTTGTTCAAATTATAAACTGAAATACTGTGTGATTTACTAATGCTGAGGCTTGCTGTGTCATTGTGTAGCTGTTATGACAATGCTAGAAATTTTGTGTGCATCTTGCATTGAAGTACTACTGGATCTCTTGCTTATTCATTTTAAAAACTGTTCAGTGAAAAGCAGCCAGGTTGGAATAGGGGAGTTTTTTTTCTAGTTTGTAAATAGTAAATTGAGCCATTCTTTTTTTATTTGGAAAAGACAGTTCTGCTGTTACTGTCAAATGGGTAATGTGAGCTGATGATTTGACCAGGATATTGAGAGTGAAAATCTCAGGTCCCTATATTAAGGCAGCAGTAAGTGTGAAAACCTTCAGCCCTCCTGTGGCACTTTAGGAAGAGACTCTCCCATATCCTTCCAAGATAGGTAGATGTAGAAGTAGGCTCTATACAGCTAGGTTGTGAAACTCCCTGCCCCTGCTGCCTTGATTTTATTTTCAAAGGCCCTTTTTGGTAGGTCATCAAAACTGGTCTTGGTGACCAATGAAGAATGGGTACAGCTCCTAAAAATAACCATGTTTCACAGAAAGGCTGCGAAACATCACGGTGAAGAAGGTGACAGCAGTAACCCAAATTAGGCTTGGGCAGGAAGAAGGTTCTCAAAACTAAAGAAGTGAATAAAAAAGAGCTGTTGATGATAGATGTTTTAGGCTCTGGGAGAGTGCATGGTGTGTAGGGCAGGACAGTCAGTCTGTTTTCAGCATCAAGGAAGTGCCTATAGAATGGGGATGGGGTCTGGCTGAGGGCTGTGCAAGAGCTGGGCTGGCAGGAGGCATCAGCTGGAGAGCTGTGTCTGTCAGGTGCTGAGCTGGGCCACACTTGTTCCCATTGCTGGGGAGGATGGAGACATGGTCATGTAGGCAACTGCAAGCAGGTGGTGCTGCCAGAAAGGTTGCTGGCTGTTAAACTGAAGCCAATTGTGTAGGAGAGCCAACTGCAGGATTCAGTTGGCCTTCCTGACACCTGTGCCCTGTTGCAGGTGTTGTTTGGAAAACCACTTCTGTTGTCTTGGCTTGATTACTAGTTAAACTAGTAACCAAAGCCAAATGGTTGTAGACTTGATTTCCCAGGCTTCAAGAAGAACACATCAACAACCCATAAGGCTTGTAGGACATCCATTCTGCTTTTGGATGAGTGGACATGCAAATCCATTATTCCAGCTTGTCCAAAATATCTCAGAGGTCTTGGGCATGCACGGATACAGTGTGAGGAGAGGGCTACACTTAAGGTGGTTGAATAGCTGGGTTCATAACATCCTGCATTTGCCATTGACCTCAAGAGTCTTTCTAGTCTTTGACACCCTTGTATCTCATTTCAGTTTCCATTACATGTAGTGGACTGCAAATACTCCCATGAATGGGCCGAGTATGAGGTGATACTGCTGTTCAGTTGAAGTCTCCTTGTCTGCAGTATTCACCCCATGATATTTCTTCCAAGGCTCCTTAACTGATAAATAACCTTATGGAAATTAGGTGAGGGTTCTCCAATATGAATACATTTCTGCCAGTATGTAAGAATGACCTTGTCCAGTATGTCCTTTCGTGGTGCCTTCTACCATGAATTGTTTTGCCTTATGTAGCTGCAAGAGACTGCCAATCCTTCTGAGATGTAACCAGCTCAGATTCTTTGCTTTCTTGCCTTTTCCTTGCTCATCCACTTGCCTGATCTTGAAGAAAGAGGTTTTGAACAAGAGGAGAGTTTTATGGTGCTGGTGAATCCGTGTCTGTGGTAGTGGCCTTGATGCTGGGTTTGACAAGAATGTTATCAGCAGCCTCTTACAAAGGGCAAAGAATTGACAAAATCAAGTTATGTACCTGAGATAACCAGTGTTGTAAGACTAGGGGGTTGTTTAGTTCAGCCACTTCCACAAGAACTACCTGAAGGAGTGGTTGCTGCATAGCAAGCTAAGATGGCTGCTTTGAAAAATCTGACCTTATGCTGCTATTGGTTGTGCTGTTTGGAAAGCTATTCAACTTGTAAACCTGTCTCTTGTTTCTTTTTCTTATATCTGCACTGACAGATGATTCTGAAGGTAAATGAACCTTTACTTCTATATATATATTGCACTTTATTTTAGGCCTAGTTGCTACTCACACCCATAACACTCCCTGCTCTTTAAAAAGGACACTGTCAAGATGTGCACTGGAGCTGACTGAAAGCTTTTTGCATTCTGCTCTATACAGTTTCTTTGGAGCTGAAATGTCTTCCCAGTTTTATTTCTCATGTGATTTGGGCATGCTGAATGCCAGCAGATCTCTTGAGATTGTGATGATGATAAATTCTGGTTTGGGTTGTCATGAGAGTGTGCAGCTTCAGCAGTGGTAGGATTTTAATGGACAAAAGGTTGTGCCCAGAGTTTCAATTTTCAAGAAACTCTGGAGTTTGACACAAATGTGTGTGCTGCATGTAAGCATCCTTCACAGTGTCTCTTTTAAGCAATGCATGTTAAAATAGTGTTTCCTTCTACCCTTAAGTTACCACTAACACTTTACGTTCTTGTTTTTTTAAAAACTAGTTTTATCAAAATGCACTTCATCTGTTTATAATAAGATTAAGTTCTAGTTCACAGTGCTGGTTGTTAGTGACTCACTATGAGCTAATCTTAATAGATGGAAGTTGTTCTCCTTATCTGAGCTCTGTGAATGTACAGATTGAAGAGCTGTGCTTGGTACAAGATCTGTGGTGTGTCAACATGTTTCACTCTGCCTGTTTCTTTCTGTCCAGCTCCTCTCTATCTTTTAAAACTGTACTAGAAGAAACACTGAAAGTAAAAAGTCAGAGTGGGGAGGGGGAAGACAACTTTAATTTGGCCCTTTTATAGAAGGATGCAAAACATCCTCTACTGGAGTCAAGCTTTTGGAATAAATAGAAACCACACCAAGCTTCAAGAGGCTGTGAGTTGTGTGTACTGCTCAGGTTTAGCCTGAGCACCCAGAACTTGTGCAAAGACAAGAATTGGGATTAGAAAGGAGTATTTTGTCAGCATTTCTTATTTTCTGCAGCTAAAAATTTACAGCAGGCAGGTGCTGCTTCTCTCCCTCTTGTAAATGACCTGCTAAAAAGACTGCTTGAAGGGAGAAGTGTAGCTACACTGTTAGAGAAATGATCAGCTACTCTGCTGTCTGAAAGGCTAAACAAAAACCTCTTTCCTATATTGAAAATCCTTAGAAAAGAGAGCTTATAAACTGGTACCTTGCAGTGAATTGCTATAGCAAATAGTTTGAATTGGGTTAGTTGATTGAATTAAAATCATTTTCTTGGCACCAAATTTTTATGGTAGAGTCCTTTGATTTCTGTTTTGCCATCCCCCTGACAAGGTGCAGAGTTTGAACACTGTGGTCTTTGACCATTTTTTTATAGCTGCTCAGTTGTTAATGGTTAGTGCTCCTTGGTAAGGCTGTAAATCCTGCAGCTTATGCAGGAGGAAAAAAAAAATCCTTGTTTTGCCTTCGCTGACCCAAATCAGACCTTTGGATTTGGTCAGAAATTCGGTGGCTTTACCACCTATTTTCTGTGCTTTATGCTTTAAGCTGTGCCCATGGCTCCATCAGGCAGCAGGGGATGGCCTGGCAGTGCTGTGGGTCCCTCAGGGGGAGCTGTAGGGCAGCTGAGGTAGCTCCTGAGCCTTTGCTGCAGCTCTTCACCCACTGTTGGGCTGTCTGAGCTGCCTGGGACAGAACAGAGCCCATGGAGGGACAGGAGGGGCTTTGAGGTTATGGGGAGAGAAGGGAGCAAAGCAGCAGATTGGTTAGGGGATGTGTGGGGAGAAGAAGGTTGGCAGGGAGAAGAGTGTTTGGCTGGGGCTGGATCCCAGTGGATGTGTCTGTATTGCTCCCAGCAGTTAGTGGGTGTTCACTGGCATTCTGTGCTGTTGTGAGAAGCCTTGTCTAGACACAACCAGGCAAAGAACCAACCTATTAAAGCCTAATGAGAAGCTCATTCCACATGGGGTGACCCTGCTGTCACGTGCAGCTGAATTCCCATCCCTGTTGCATGGGAACTGGGCTGGAACCAGGGTGGAAGCAGCAGAGGAGCTGAGGTCTCAAACTGCACTGGATCTGAAGGAAGTGTCCTCCTGGTGTGCAAACTCAAAGTATAACAAAAAAAAAAAAAAGCTTACTTTGAGTCAGAATTGATGTTCCTCATTTTTTTCCATTGAAATTCTTGATCTGTGCCAACCAGGAGTACCTCAGTGGGGTGGTTTCATGAACCAGGAAATGGTCACTTGGGCCAGAAAAACAGCTGCAGTGCTGAGATGCAGTTTGCATGTTTTCTGTTGTTTTGTGGGATGCTTTTGCATTTGTTGTTTGCTTGTGCAAGTCTGATGCATGAAATAATTGGGAAATGAGGCAAAATCCACATGCTGCTCCAAGTCTACACAACTGATAAGTAAGAGATCCTTTTGCTGTAGCCAATTAGGCACAGACCTCTGTTCTACTGCCCTGCTGAAATTAATTTGGATTCCAGGACTGAAAGGGTTTTCATGCTGATCTGTTTCAAAGTTGTTCTCCTGGTGTTTAAACCAAATGGCTAAACCAAAATAAATAAATGAGGTGTTTGAGCCATTTAGCTTTAGATGGTTTATATTCCCCACCATTCAGTTCAGTCCTATTGACATGAAACATGCTTTGCTTTTGCATGTTAGTGAATGGTCCTTGTGAGGAACTTCTCTGCTGGAGCAGTTCAGGGGCACACAAGGCTTTCTGCTCCTTCACTGCTGGGAGGGTTCTCTTTTCTCTCTGAATTCTCTGCTCATGTCCTGTAACAGGCAACAGTGGGGGTGAGAGCTGTGAATCTAGCTGGATGTGATAAATGAAAACAGGATTTTTGCTTTTCATGCTGAAATGAGTCTGTTTGGTAGAGTCTCGGTTCCCTCCTGCTCTTAAACCAAAATATCTCTCTGTAAAAGTTGAATAGTGTAGGATTTCTCTTTTGTGCTAAGCTTTTGTCAGTGTTTGTTGTGAAAATAATTAAATTAACAGTATAGCAGGAACTCTAAACTCTTGTGGTTGCCCATGGCCCTATTTTAGTAAGAACAAAAGTCACAGTTCCCGTAAGTTCTTCCAATCCTGTGTTGTAATACATTGGTTTTTTACTATTACAGAGGAAAACTTACCCAAACAAGTTGATGATTTGGGAAGTCAGTTCACAGAGATTTTCATTAAACAGCAAGAAAATGTCACACTCTTGTTGACTCTTGTGGAGGTGAGTAATGGAATTGTACTTGGAATTCTGAGGGATAAGTAGTGTTGTACAGGGAGGTTATCTTAATGGATACAGCTGTAGTGTTGTCTGTCCAGTGAGATCTGTGTCAAAACCTGAGGTGTTCTTTGACATGATGAGTGTGGTGTTGGAGGTGGAAGCCTAAAGGTTTGTTGTGGTTGGTCAGGTCTGTCCCTGGGCTCATTAGTGCTGGAGATTTCTCTTGCTGACAAGACTCTGTCTTAGCAAAGAAGCTGCTGTTACTCTTTGGGCATAGGAAGAAGACACAAAAGGACTTGCCTTTCTTTCCCTCTTGGATTTCTGACTAATATGGATAGGGCTGACTGGTTTTTAGAAAGAAGAAACAGCTGGGAAAGCCACTGCAGAGGAGAGGGAGGAAAGGAACCAGCTGGGAGTTCAGGAAACTGATAATAAAGCTAAGAACCACAGGCAAGTGCAGGGCAGCCAGGGGATCAGGGCCAGCCAGCATGGGTTTATGAAAGGGAGGTCTTGTTTGACCAACCTGATCTCTTTCTGTGACCTTCTTGATGAGGGGAAGGCTGTGGATGTTGTCTCCCTGGACTTTGGTAAGGCCTTGGACACCATCTCCCACAGCATCTCCTGGAGAAGCTGGTGAATCGTGGCACAGATCAGTGTTCTCTTCACTGGGTAAAAGCCTGGCTGAATGGCTGGGCCCAGAGAGTTGTGGTGAATGGGGCTAAATCTAGTTGGGGCTGGTCACCAGAGGTGTCCCTCAGGGCTCAGTGTTGGGGCCAGTCTTGTTCAATGTCTTTATCAACAATCTAAGCTATTGAGGACCTCCTCAATATGTTTGCAGATGACACCAAGTTGGGCAGGAGTGTTGATCTGCTTGAGGGTAGGAAGGCTCTGCAGAGGGACCTGGACAGGTAGAATTGATGGGCCAAGGCCAATTGTATGAGGTTCAATAAGGCCAAGTGCCAGGTCCTGCATTTCACTCACAGCAACCCCCGGCAACACTCCAGGCTTGGGGCAGTGGCTGGAGAGCTGCCCAGCAGAGAAGGAGCTGGGGGTGCTGGTGGACAGCTGGATGAACATGAGCCAGCAGTGTGCCCAGGTGGCCAAGAAGACCACCAGCATCCTGGCCTGCATCAGGAGTAGTGTGACCAGCAGGACCAGGGAGGTGATCACAGCCCTGGGCACGATCTTATGATCACCAGAACTGGGCAGTGATGAAGCTGCACCTCAAGTCTTGTGTTCATTTCTGAGCCCCTGACTACAAGAAGGACATTGAGGTGTTGGAGCAAGTTCAGAGAAGGGCAACCAAGCTGGTGAAGGGTCTGGAGAACAAGTCCTATGAGGAGAGGCCGAGGGAATTGGGATTGTTTAGTTTGGAGAAGTGGACACTGAGGGGAGACCTCATTGCCCTCTACAGCTACCTGAAAGGAGGCTGTAGGGAGGTGGGAGTTGGCCTCTTGTCTCAAGTGAATAATGGCAGGACCAGAGGAAATGGCCTGAAGCTCAGCCAGAGGAGTTTTAGATTGGATATTAGGAAGAATTTCTATACTGAAAGAGTGGTCAGGCACTGGAACAGCCTGTCTGGGGAGGAGGTAGAGTCACCATCCTTGGAGGTGTTGAAGAAACATGTAGGTGTGACACTTCAGGGCATGGTCTAGTGGCTGAGGTGGGTTTTTTCGTGGGGGCTTTCTGGTGGAATGTGTGGTTGTCTGTGTCTGCTTGGGGTTTGTTTTGTGATCTCAGAGGTCCTTTCCAACCATGACAATGCTGTGAGAAGAGGGTAGTGTTTAGACTTGCTGGCCATATGCTGTAAAGGGATGAATGAGAAAAGAAATGGACAGGAGATTCAATTCCTTATCCCTTTGGTGTGTATTCATAACTAGTGTCTAGAAGAAAAGCTGAACACTGAGGAAATTGTTACTTCATGTGCTCCTCTCCATCTTGGCAGGAATTTGATTTCCATGTTCGTTGGCCTGGAGTGAAACTACTTACATCTCTCTTAAAGCAACAAGGACCTCAAGTGCAGCAGATCATTCTTGTCAGTCCTATGGGTAAGTGGTTGGGTTTATTGCTCATCAACCTGAAGGTGGAAATTTGGCAAACATCAGGGCAGAGGGCTAGAGGAGTGTCAACTGATGGGTTTTAAAGACCTCCAGCATGAAAAAAGCTGCACCTCTTTTATGCTTTGTTTTTTTAATGTGTTTCTTCCAGGTGTTTCCAGGCTGATGGATCTACTAGCAGACTCTAGGGAGGTGATAAGAAATGATGTAAGTACAGAATAAAGGCAGTTTATCCTTTCAATAAATAGCCAAAATCCTCTAATTACTTCAGAATACTTGAGGTGCTTTACAAGTTCCCTCTTTCTTCTGTATAGCCCTTCTTAACAGTACTGTGCTTCTATTTTGAAGTGCAGTCAGGTATGAGAGACCTACTTCATGGTGTCCATGGTGGGTTTTGTTAGATGTGCTGAGTTGCAGGGCATGCAGTTCTGTCCTATGATGCTGGCCAAGGAATATGCTGCTGATTCAGGATCCCTCTAAGAGCTGTGACTTGTGAAAAGCAATGTAGTTCTACTAAAACGTAAGGTTAATTTCTTCTCTTCCCCCACCTGTCAAGGGAGTCTTGTTGTTACAGCAACTGACAAAAAGTAATGCAGCCATACAGAAGATTGTTGCCTTTGAAAATGCCTTTGAGAGACTTCTGGATATCATCACAGAGGAAGGAAACAGTGATGGAGGTACAGGAAACTCCTATTCATAGCCTTGTGCTTCTGCACAAACTATTAGTTGACAGTGTTTCCAGGCTGATGTTAGTATGTGATGGGAGCTGGGTTAATGGATAGAAGGATCAAAACATACAGCCTGGTTGTAACAACAGCAAAAAGATGAAATAAGCAGGCAGGCTTTCAGCATCTTTCAAAATTGGTCTTGAGATATTAGTTAAAACAGAAGTTAGTTCCTCTGAGCATGTGTGTGTAAGTTTGGGTGTTCCTGTTTGGCTTATGTCTGTGAATGTTTATGCTTTGAAGGGCCATGTCAGGAATGTGTGAGCTGCATTTGTCACTTACAGAGTTCAGCATCTGCAATTCCTCCTGTGAGATCCCTGGGTGCTTGGAGTGCTGGAAGTCACAGCTTGCTGAGCTTCTTCAGCCTCACAAGTAACTGCAGTATTTTAGTCAGCTGCTTGTTAAATAATTTACCTGAAAAAAAGATTTAAAAAGAAATAAAAAATAATGCAGCACTTAGCTCTTTTTATTTTTTTATTTTTTTTTTAATTAGCAACACATTATGAACTTAAAAGCAGTTGCAGTTTGCTCCAGGATCTTTTTCAGTAACAAGACAGGTTGTTTTCTGTGAGCTTTGTGGTCTGCAGGAGCAGTTACCACTTCTCTCCCAGCTGAATTACTCCAAGTATGTTGGCACAAGGAAGGATGAAGCAAACCTCTGATTCCAAGCTGCTATTTTTAGGCAGCTAATAATTTTAGGAGACTTGATATGTAAATTCCTAAGTGTTACCAGTTCTCTGCTTTCCTGTTGCATATGCAGCCCTGCTGAGGACCAGATGACCAGCTGTGGCCCTGCAGCAGGAGCAGGGCACACAGAATGTGACAGCTGCTCTCTGTTCTCCCACTCCCAAGTCTGACATTGCCTCTGTGTGCTCAGAAGAGCAAGTCTTGGTCCTTTCTGTCAAGTCCAGATTTTGAGGCATTCCAGCAGTACTGGAAGCAGCTTGCTGTTATTGTCCTCTGGACAGAGTTGTCTGAGGAGTTTCTCTTCACAGAGTACCCAGCTGATGAGTATCTCGAGTGCTTTTTTCCCTTCAGATAAAACCTGAGGAGGAGGAAAAGATGTTGCAGCTCCAAGGAGTTGAGTATGAATTGGCTCATTGTAAGGGCTGTATCTAAGAATTGATTTTACACCAAAAGTAGCTTTGCAATGAGTTGAAGATGTAGCCAGTGATTAATGATGATGTGTAATCCAGTAACAACTGCTGCATTTGAAGCATGAGGCAGCTCAAGAGGAACTTGATTTTAGTGCTCACAACACAGAGACAATCATGTAGCCTGACTCAGAAGCAGGTACACTTCAAGCCAGGAAGTGCTTCTGAGGCTTTGTTGGAAACTCTTCCTATTCCTACCCAATTAACTCGTAGAAACTGTATATTCTTGGGAAATAATGATTTTGGTTTACACTTGTGAAAGAAACACAGTGATTTCCTTGGAAATATGCTGGATCAACATTAGATGTATTTAATGTAGACTGACCCTTTTTCATGCATGAGGTTAGCAGTTCTTGATACAAATCTAACATTTGTTAACAGAGTTCAGAAGGGTGTGATGTTTTCCATTCAGAACATCCTTAATGCATGGAGAGGCTAATTAGTTTTCTGTGTGTCATTTTTTTTATGGATCTTTTGTTTTTTTTGTCTCACCAGGAATCGTAGTGGAAGACTGTCTCCTCTTAATACAAAACTTGTTGAAGAATAATAATTCCAATCAGAATTTCTTCAAAGAAGGTTCATACATCCAGCGTATGAAGCCTTGGTTTGAAGTTGGAGATGACAACTGTGGGTGGTCTGCCCAGAAAGTGACTAATCTTCACCTAATGCTGCAGGTAGAACACACTTCATCAAACTCCTAAACACCAACGTCAACAGTTTTTCATCTCTCTTGCAATGAAGAACAAGTGTAATGTTAACAATTATCTCTGAAATCCATGTGTGGTCTGTAGCTCAGAATTAGCTGCCAGCATTCCTGAGATGTGCTGCTTTCAGCACAAATCCTGTTGCCAAACTGTGACTTGGTAATGACTGGAATATCCTGTGCCTTCCTTTCAGGGAGCTGAAGAAGTGACAGGGATTTGAGCTAAGTTCATACTCAGGGGTGTTCTATGTCAAGAATCCTCCTGCATGAATGCATGTGTGGCCACAGTGCATTAACCAGATTCCAGTAGCTGCTCTTTCTGTGAGTTCACAATTCCTGATTGTTGGGCATCTTCCCTCCCAGAGGATGAAATGAGGTTTTTCTGTTCTGTGGCACTTGGTGTGGAAGATGAGCAGGTAGTTCTCACTTCCTGAGAAGTAGTTCTGGCAAATGGTGAGCCAAATAAGATTAAAAATTACAGCTTGATTTCTCCTCACTTAGTGTTCACAATGGAGTCAGATATTTGAAGAGGTTAAAGAGCTTCCCTGAACTCAAACTTGTTTTCTCTGCCCGTTTTTAGGTGCAGTTCTGTTTCATGGCTGACCTTCAAATGGGTGCATTATTTTATTTAGCATTTCACCAGGTCTCAGGCTCTCTCCACACAGAAATGTTTCTTTTTCTCTAGCTTGTGCGGGTACTCGTGTCTCCCACAAACCCTCCTGGTGCCACCAGCAGCTGCCAGAAGGCCATGTTTCACTGTGGGTTGTTACAGCAGCTCTGCAAAATCCTGATGGCAACTGGAGTTCCTGCTG